GCGTTTTGGCTCCAGGCTTTTCAGGGCTGGCCTGGTTACTGTGGTGGTGAAGAACCTCTCAGGCTCTTCTCTTAGGTGTCTTTCAAGCGAGCCGTTTGTTTCTAAGAGACTTTGAATAAATTTACCTGTAAGTTCTAATGAAAATAAAGTTGTAATAGTTTTGGAAGGGGCCTCTCGTGTCGTTCACTTATGTCCTCCCCACGAGGCCAAGCTACTGTTTTCACTTGAAACGTTCTGGTTGTGATGCGTCCAACATCACGTATTACCCAATGTGTGACCATGTAAAACAGCAACGTGGCGGAGAGAGACGGTGCCCTCACCAAAGGAAAGGCAGGAAGAGCTCAGCCATTACTCAACAGAAAATGGTGGGAGTTATGGGAGGAAGGACTTGGAATCGTCTTGATCGTGAGCCTAGCACTTTCACCTTTTGGCCTCTGAAGTCAGATAGCAGTGAGTTGCAAATCTGTAATAAACTAGGGTTCCTGCCTTCTAGGGCTTATCTACTTGCCTTCATTTTTCCTCCCTTCCAGTGGGGAGGACAGAAAGGGGCCCTGGAGCACATGCTCCTGTTTTACTCCCTGCGTACAAGGGGACAGAGGGGGATTTCAAACCGTGTACAAAGAGACTTTGAGGCATGAGGAGCAAATTTAGGGGACTCTTCTGCAGTTCTGGGGTTTGCTTAGACATTTCTGTGCTGGTTTTAGGAGAGGCTCAGTTCAGCATGATGTGCGATGGCAATGATTTCCGGGTGGGTCGGCGCAGGGCTGACCGAGCCCCTGAAGGGGTGCACCCGGAACAGCAGGGCTGGGTGTGCTCCTGGCAGCGCTGCTGTGGGCAGAGCAGAAGGACTTGTTGCCTTTCTCAGCCTAGCTTTGCTGGAACTGTGTGCCTGCGCCTGAGTCTTCGCCCAGGCTCCTGGTCTCCGTTTCTGAGGAAAGGTCTTTGGAGAGATTGCTGGTTTTGGAGGCTAATTTCTTCTTGACATCTGGCAGGCAAGAAGATGTGTGAATGTAAATTATAATAAGAAGCAAGCGGAATTGAAATCACTTCAGGGGAAAATAAAGACATGTTCTTCTTTAATTGGTGTGGTAGTTTACAGAAACAGCACTTGTCCTGTTTTCTGTGCCTTGACTGGTGCGATTTAGATTTATTTGCAAGATAGAGAGTACTTGAAAAGAAACTGTACCTTCCATGTGTACAAAGTAAGAATTTATTAGTGCAGCTCTTGGAAGTTAACTGATAGGCCTTCTTGGCTGTTCTGGCAAAGGGAGAAAGTTCAACATTTCCGAATGGAAGAGTCAGTTTCAGTCAGAAGCTAATGTACATACTGGCAGTTACGTCTCATGTGATATGGAAGGAGATGTTCCCTTTGGTGCTGGGTTGTTAAAAGGGAGAACTGCAGCAGTATTAACTGACATACATTTATTTTGGTAATCAAATATTTTCTGTCAGTTTAAAGATCTTGATTTTACATTAATCCTGATTTTTCTTTTTACAGATGTGTCATTTCTCCCAAAGAAGTACAATTTTGTCGTTTCCAAAAATATGTAATATACTTTGGCGGTAAGTTAGAAATCCATATTGCTGTGTAATGGGTAAAGACATAATTATTGGATGAATTGCATTGTTAAAGCTGTGAGTTGTAAACTTAGATTGCAAATAAGATTATTTGCTTTAATGCATAGTTCGATGTTTCTGTGTAGACTCCATTTTTTGCTATTGTGGCATGGCACTGGACCTTAAATACTCATATGCTGGAAAGCACTGGGTAAAAGCAAGAACTCGTCAAAAAAAACCCCAAAAAACTGAAAGGTTCACGTTAAGACAGGAAACATAACAGTTATAAACTTCAGCTCCAGGGAACCTCAGAAAATCGGTTCTAAGACCTCTGAATCCTGAGGCATACAGGTGAAGCTTTTTCCCTTTATTGTTGACTTTATATAACATCATTATGTTACCTGAAAGTATTGATTTAATTTCAATAGGGCCATGTAAAGCGCCTGACTGCATAAAGGAGAATTTTAAAATCCAAGTCATAAATATTTTCCCAGAAAGGTATAAGAGATGGACGATAGCAATAAAATCACTGCTTTACAGGAGGATGAAGACTTCATCTGTAAATATACTCTATACTACAAATAGTGTATTCCAAAGGAATAGACTGAAAGCAATATGGAGTTTTTTATTTCTCAGAATAATAGTAATCTATTAAGCACGTTGGGAAGGTTGTTAATTGCTTTCCAAATGCTGCACTTTGCCAGCTCCTACAAGTGTACAGCCATCAATATGTAGCTTTGCTGTCATTGTTCCTCACTAGCTGGCTGGAAAAAACATTTTGATGCCTTTTGTTTAGTTTTTAGCTCTTTGTTTAAATTTTATTTGAGTAGAGAGGAGGAAGTGCTTTGAAATGTTTCTGTCTGGAGAGTCAGGAAAAGCTTGCTTTTAACAATGTTATTCCTTTGAAAAAACACTGTTGCCAGGTTTCATCATACAAGTATATCACAAATGTGCAGCTGCAGTAAGACAATTAGTGATGAAAAATACCAAGACCCTTTTCAGCTTGGTAGAAAAGACTTGAAGAATCTCTATGAGGATATTAAAAAGGTAAGGGATTTTGGTGACTATTCTGGGATGTTGTAAAGATTCAAACTTTAAAAGCAACTACAGCTTAGGAGGACAGTCATTAAAGGAATATTCTTTACATACAGAAACAGCTGTCTGAAACCTAAACCGAAGGTAAGGAGACCGTTATATCTTACAGCACCAGAAAGAATTTTTGTTTGCTCTTGGTTTACATAGGCAGAGTATTCGCTTGCTTTTCTAATTATCATGAAAAGTAATCTTAAAGAATTGCAACTTGTATTGAGTGGAATGAATACATGCAGTAACCTTATACATGCATACTGTTTGCTTATGCAACAGAATGGCTTTGTAACTTTTATGCTGATATATTCTTTTCCCTTTTACAGGAATTACTTATATCTACGGCAGAACTTAGGGAAATGTGTGAATATTACTTTGATGGGAAAGGAAAGGCCTTTCGACCAATGATTGTGGTGCTAATGGCAAGGGCTTGCAACATCCATCATAATAATTCCAGGTGAGTCTGTCACCTTTAAACATATGAACATGCGTCTTTAAACTTAATCATTCCCATGTTCCCCCAAAATGTGTCTAGTAACTTTATGAAAATGAAAAGGACTTCAGCAAAACCTAGATTTAAATTCCACTGTGAAGCTGTATTTTGGTAGTTAGCAGTGTGGAAGGAATTTCTGCTTTTGATACGTACTTCCAGTAAAATGGTGGACTGTACTGTAATTGTTACTAGTAAATAAAGTTGCCAAATTCTGATATTTGTGAGGGTTTCAGTCAATTATAGCTTCTTGTAAAAATGTTTTTTTATAATCTGTAGTATACTTCAAAGCTGTATAAACTCGACTGAAAGTATTTTTCATTTGTAACCATTCCTATGGCTATTAAATTCTTGTCACAGATAAGAACTTCCTTACTGCAAGAAAAAGCTCTATAACTTTTTTGTAACTATGCAGAAAAGCCAGTAAGGAGGTTGTATAATTGTATTCCATGCTCTGAGTTATACGGTAAAGTCAGAGGTATTTTCCCCTCTAGGATCAGGTTTCTAATCCTATAGCACAAGATTCTAAGCTTGAAGAACATGAGGATTATAGCAGCTTTAAGTTATATGAATTCTGAAGGCAGTTTTAGCTGAGGAAATCATTATGCTTGCCTTGTACTCTGTCACTCATTGCTCTGGCTGATTGCAAATTCTTCTCTCAACACGTTCCTATCAGTTGTTATGTTTGCATTTTGAGGAAGGATGTTGGCTGGAATGTCCCCTGCATTCCAGCTGTATTTCCAGTCTTCCCTGGAGTAGAATTTCAGGTTTGAAAAGTTTGGGCCCTTGCCAGTAGTATTTCTAGACCAGTTTATTAGGCTTAAGGGATTCCTCCTAGCTCTTGCAACAGTTTTTCCTTACTGGTAGGTAAGGAAGTGCCTTGTTAGTGCCTTGTTGGACTTGATCTCTACATCAGTGCATGGCATATGTTTTGCTGTTTGATGTGGTGCCTCTTCCAGTACAAAAGTCTCTCTCTCCCTTCCCCCTCCCCTGCCATGCAAATATAATTTTTAAGGAGAAATAAAAACCTAGTTGGCAAGTGTTGTACCTTGTGTGTGCCAGATCCTCTTGTCTTAGGAAAACATTGTCCAGGTTTGATAATCTTCACTCCAGCCTGATGCTGTTCCCCCTTCCATACTTTTCTTTGTCCTTGTCTTAGAGGTAACACAAGGAACAAAATAATTTGAAATTCCTCAAGCAAACTAGTGCTGTGACAAAAGGCTTAATATTTTCATGAGTGACCTTAGCATGAAAAACAGGAGTGTGGTGATGGCACTTGATGAAAAAACTACTCTTGATTCAGAGGATAATTAGGCCGTCTATGAAAGGGAGCATGCTGAAACAAAAAAGTGTCAGTAGCACAATAAAACAAAAATATCTGCTTGTGCTTTGAGGCTTATTAGTGTCCCATTAGGGCATAAACCCCAGCGTGATTTACAGCCAGGTTGTCTGTGAAAAACTTGTGCTATGATCGATGTGTGCTAGGATCACATCTAGTTGAGCTAATGGAAGTGATAATATCATTGTACGTGGCTGTTGTGAAATCATCTGCAGCCCTGATACTTGTGTTCAAAAGGGCGAAAAAAAAGAAAAGATGACTCAGGGTGTCTTTCAGGAAGGATTGCAAGGATAGTCAGGGAGAATGGAGGACTTGTCTTGGACAGAGTCCAAAAGAGCTTGGCTCTTCAAGTATTGCAAAATTAAGGCTATGAAGGCAGATAACTGTGTTCTGTAAATCCATCAGGAATAGGAGGGAAAGAGCTATTTAAGACAAAGAGCAATGTTGATAAGACTCATAAATTCATGATGGAAATTCAGGAGACTGTTAATGACTGGTACAGTGAGTTTTTAGAACATCCCTCTAGACAGAATAATGGAAGAAGACAGATTTGTCTTATTCTAATGTGTAGCGTGACAGTATTATGAACAAGACTATGTAGTGTATATGCAATACCAAGGAAGCTGCATTCAATGTGAAGATATATGCACTGTGTGGTGTGAACAGAGAATCAGGTACAAGGGGTGGACACAGGAAGAACTGACTTAGCTATCTAATGTACCTGTGTAAAAGTTCCTGCCTCTCATATCTTTCAAATTCCTGCCTTTACTTGTTCAAGGCATTTTTGACATCTTTTGGCATATATATGGCTCAGCTGTAAAATATGTTGTTGTCCATGTGTCATGCTGTGTGTAACCCTTGGGACCACTTTTGAGCCCTGCTCCATGCCTGTGAGAGTCTGATCTCTGGGCTGAAGTGCTGCATATGAATTTAATAGTGCAAATGCTCCAAGTTAGATACTGGTGTCATTTGACACCTGTGTATATCTCTTGCAGTTTTTGTCTGCACCTCTGAACTATGATGCTTAAAAGCCTCTTCATTAATCTGAATGTTCCTTGTGTAGGGACGGGCTGAGTCACCATCTCTCTCATGTTGTTTTTAGGGGGAAGTTCTGAGTAGGGAGAACAGAAATATGTAAACGAAGGAGGAAAATGAAATCCTAGGGTATTTATCTTCCTCTTCTTTGCTTCATCCCCCTTTCTCTAAGTTTGTGGTTTTTATTAAAATTAATGTATGTTCATGCAAGCCTTCAGCGTACTGCTTTTTGATTCGTGCCTGATAACAAACATCATCTCAGGGTTGGGGAGGCCAAAGAACAGTTTGTCTTATTTTGGAAGCCCACTTACTGTGAGTTGATCCTATTTCAAAAGCAAAAGAGAAGAAAATGCATATGAGGTTCTTCTTCAAGCAGGCTGTGCATTACACCAGCTTCTCAGCTTTAAACTGTTAATCATTATGTATTATATAGAAATTATATGTACTTCCAGTTCGCATCAGTATTGATTTCATTATTGTTGCCTCTTACAGCAGTGTTGCTTCCTGGTGGCAAACTATTCCTCCAACTTCTTACTGTTCATGAGTAAGATTGTATGTGTAGAGATGGAAACACTTTGTATTTGCACCTCTGGTTCCCTGATGATACAGACCAAACCATTCTTGCTTTCCTTCTGCTTCTACTGATTTTTTTGAGATGTTTTTCCTCTTTCACCTTGTCATTTCCTTTAAAGCATTCTTTTTCTCAGTTAATACTGATTCTTCTCTCAAACTTGCTTTTCTTTGATCCCCCCTTATGCAATCAAAGATAGTGGCCAGAACACCTGTAGACAGATCACTGGGTGAGCCAGTTTTCTGTGCTTGCCATCCCTACCATTTTTTTCTTCTGCCTCTGGGGTTTGTTCATCTTGCTGCCATTCCCAACTATCATATAACTTTCTGGATCCAGCCTGCTTTTGCCTGTACGTGTGTGTGTGTGTGTGTACCCAATAGTAGTAGAAAAGGTAATGTTCTTCCTTGTTTGGCTCTTAAATAAGAAGATGCAGCTTTACAAGGTCATAGGTCTTGATCCTGTGAGGCAGTGTACAGAGACCCCTTTGTCTTTGCAGAGCCCTACCGCAGTATTTGGGACCCCTCAAGTGAATGAGGGGATACCTAGATAGCAATGCTTATGGATTGGGTGCCTTGATCATTTTTATTAGGTTTGAGGAAGGTAGGTATTTAGAATGCCTTCAGTAGGTTAACTGCCTTTTTCTTGAATAAGGTCACTTTATTGTGGTCACTGCAAGCAAAGTGACAGTTGTATAAGGTGATAATGAATCTGAAACATTATCAAAAGATTAGCATCTGAAGCATTCAAATTATTTTGTGCTGGTATGGCTTTTTTGTTTGTTTTGAGGGGCTTTTTTTTGGTTACTTCCCTCCTTCCCCCCTCTCCCCCTCCCTTTATGATCCAGGTGCCAGAATTTCAACCCTTAGTTCTTAGGTCCCTTGTGTAGTGACTTTTTGTTTAATAATAGCAACTTATCTTTGTGTGAGAGTGAGAATTGTTTTAAAGAGTTTAAGTTGAGATCATGCAAATCCTCCATTTCACACATCCTCTGGCATTTCTTCACACAATGCCTGTGTGCAGATTTCACAGAATTATCACTTAACCTGACTGGACCTATCTTTCTGTATAGAGCGTGCTCTCAAGAGGCGTTTGTAAGTAGGACTTTTTATTTTTATTTCTGTAACCAAATTTTAAGAGAGAGAAACTGAGATAAGAGGAAGCCAAAGAGGTGTAGAAACATCTCAATGGAGGAAATAGTTAATACCAAAGATTTGGGGCAGAGGAGAAGGGAAATAAATCTCTCAGAATGGTGAAAGAAGTAATTAAATACCATGACCTAACTAGACTCAGTAGAATAATATTTTGTCCTAGCAATCTTAGCCCCCTTCTCCTGCCTCTGCTACAAACCACATTTCTCAGATGCCTGCATAGTGTCCTGTTTTTCAGCTGTTCTTCAGTTTGTTGCTGTTTTAACACATCTCTTCTCTGTTTCCTCTAGTTTGCAGTACCCTTCTGCATTATAGGCCACATTTCTGAAAAGTTCATTTTTTTCCAGCCAGAGGGGCGTTACAGCAAAAAAACTATCCTGAGGGATGTGATCATAAAACAGTAATAGTGCATATTCTTTTGCAGGTTTCCTATCTTTACATTAGCAATATTTTATTATTGGCAAACATATTGCAAAGCTCTTTATTGCAAACTGTAAATATTATTTTGTGTTGTTTGAGAGTTTTTTTTTTTTTCCCCTCTTTGAAGAGGGATATTTGAGGGGAGTTTTGGGGGAGAGGGAGGTTGGTTGTTTACCTGTAAGATCAGCCTTGATCTTGTTCTCTGCATATGAAACAACTTTTATTATGCAAAAACCCCAGGATACTATGGGTCTGTAAAAACTTATCATAGAATCAAGCAGGGGGTCATAGTGAAAAATAGTACATGATCAAGGACATAAAGATGAATATAATGCATGTGCAAAAAGAGAAAGGTATTTATATAAAATATATTTGTTTATAGATACATATCATCTTGGTATATTTTTACTCTGATAATGACATAAAAATGGCATCTTTCCACTTATTGGACTTGCAGGGATTCATTTATTCATTGACCTGAAGTACTGGTACTTTCTGTTTTTGTTTTGCAGGGGAGACAGTAAAAAATGGCAAGGAATGGGTATGATCCTGTTTCTTCTGTGTTCTGTAAAATAGGCATGCTCCAATTCAATTTTCTGCAAGCATCTTGTGAGAATAATTCTATTGCAAAATATCTTGCCGGTGCTAGGAAGACACAGATTAAGTCTGCAGCAATGGTAGTCTGAAAAATTCTTCTGGTTAAATTATCACTCTTGACCTAACAAACTAAAAGTCAGACACATTAAATATGAGCTTTCCTATGCCATTTTCAGTCGCTTGTCAGAGATGAACTGCACTGTGAAACAGAACTTTTCAAAACTTGCTTTTGAAATGTCTGTCGTGCTGTCTTCATACTACACTTCAACATAAAGATGTTGGTCTGTCTGTGAGTGTTGCCATTTACTGCTACTTCCCAGCAGGAAGTCCACTCTGCTGACATAGTTAATGAAAAAGGGAGCCCCAAAAAGGAGAGGAATGCATGAAAGAGGCTGGAGACCTTTACAGTTGTTTGAAGGTAAGTTCTCCTACTTAGTAACAATAGCTTTTTTTTTTGGAAAACTACTTATTCCGAACTAACGTTTGACTAAATTATTAGCGCACAGTAAAACTTACTTTAAAACAACTGTGAAGGTTTCCAGCTTTTATTCTCAGGTTATTTAAAAGCCACAATTTCACAGCCTGTGAGCTGCATCCTGCTATTTTTCAGGATGTAGAACTCCCACTGACAGCAAAGCAGAGTTCTGCAGAAAGGTAGGTGTCAGAACACAATGATATGTCAGCAGACTGCAAGATGTTCTTTCATTTTATGATTAATCACTAGATTTTAATAGATATAGGCAATGCAAGAAGATTTTTAAATTTCCTTCAGTTAAGCTAAAAGGATTGTTTTCTATATTTTTTTCGACTCTTTTTCTGTTCTGCTGGGAAATAGGGTGATTCGCTCTGTTGTCTGTGCACCAGAAGTAAGGTATCTGGATATCAGAAGTAAAGTTTTTTGGTTTTATTTGCTATCCATGTGGGCATGTTGCAGCTATAAGGCAAGGCTGCCTGAGATAGCCATTTCTGGGATCCTATATGCAACCCTGATGAAAACAGGTAGAAAAAGACAGATACTTGAATAAGGCAGTGGTAGCTGGATGCTAGGGTAGACAGTCCTTTTTGTGAGTTGGGATGGCTCTTTTGTGTTCGTTTTGCCAACCTTCATCCCTAGATAATTATTTCTATGTTCTCCCATTATCTTTCTTCACCTATTACAAAAAAAAAAAAAAAGGTGAGAGCTACTGAGAGTTGAATCATCAGTTACTAGATCATCACAAAGGATGAATTTCAAGTGTAAGTGTTAGGCGGTTAGTGTTTATAGTTGTAAAGTGATTGCAGTGTAATTCCGGTTTCCTCAGGCTTTCGCAGAACCCTTGAAGTTTTAAGAGTGCTACCAGTTTAAGACAAAATCCATGAGTTAAGTCTTTCAAATAAGAAATAGAGATTTCTGTGCCTATCGATCAGGAGATCCTCCAGCCTGCTGGTTAGCATTGTTAGCCAGCTTTCGGGACTTTGTGGTGCTGCCTCTTATTGGTACAGCAACACAGAGATAAGGAAAACTTTAAAAAATTATCTCCTGCAAAGCTATGTGGCATTCTGTTCACTGTCTCTTCTCTAGATTGCAGTCTTCCTGGAACCAAGCATCCTCGATGCTGTGCCATTTAATGCAGTCTGGATTTAGAGGGACCAGAGTCAGCAAGCGAGGCGTTTTGCAGTACCATTAATGCAGATATGCAGAAATGGGCCTGATAAAGATGGAAACATCCCATTGCACTTACTGTACTAATGCGATCTGCCTTTCTCTTGTTTCCCTAATTCCAGGTTTGAAAGATGGGGTGCAGACCATGAAAAAGCTGCAATAGCTGTTCTCAGAAATAATTTTTATTTGATTTCAGTGGAGATTTCTTACATCTAATGCACTTAATCATATGACAGGTTTTTTTTAATTTTAGGGAGATGCAAGCAAGCCAGCGCTCTGTGGCCATAATTGCAGAGATGATCCACACAGCTAGTTTAGTTCATGATGACGTTATTGATGATGCAAATTCTCGGAGAGGAAAAATGACAGTCAATCAAATCTGGGGAGAGAGGAAGGTGAGTTTGCCATCATGTACAAGACTTATCTTTCCGTTCTGGCAAAGCAGAAATACCTAGGGTTTTTGTCATATTACTAACGTTAGGCCGAGGGCACAGTTTTGACTTAATTCAGAAAAGGTGTGAAGCGGTGTTTCTGGATTGTGGGTAAGATGGATGGGAATTCTATTACTGAAATTTTGGAAGCATTAGAGAAGGTATGATTGCAGTGTGATTCTTAACTGATTTTTAACTTCACTGTACAATTCTCCGTAGTGATGGTGGAATACTTTGAACTTGTACCTCATTCAGCACTCTGTGGGTTATCCTGTTTCAGTAGTAAAAGTAGTAAGTTTTTCAGTCAGCATAAGAATATTTTGAAACAATTAGCTAGTGTGGTACAGAGCTTTTGCTGTTATCACTGACTTGCAAACTGTTTAAGAAAGGCATTTCTTTGTAGAGCATTGTGAGGAAGCTCTTAATCAGAAAATGCAAGGAAAGAAGTAAACCACTGGCACATCTGAAGTTGTCATAGCACTTCAGAGCTGATGAGGCATAACACAGCAGAATGGTCAAATAGAGTGGTAAAGTTTAAAGAAACTTAACAGGCAAACACATCTTTAGTTATTACATACAGGGAAGACGTAGCTTATATAGCAAATAGCTAAACAGCACTGTAAGACAGGGATTCAAAAATGGTTCCAATTTAAATATTTGGTTGCCTTCTGTTTTACTCTGTTAGAATGAAAAATGTGCATTTTATGTAGGAAAATGATGTGATGTGACTAGACCTGCCAAACAGAGGGAATTCTATTGTCCCTATGAATATTTATAGGAACAGACTTTAAAAATATGTTTTTAAAAATGATTTATTTATTCTCTAGGCTGTTCTAGCTGGTGATTTCATCCTCTCAGCTGCTTCTGTAGCTTTAGCACGAATTGGAAACACTACTATCATCTCTGTTTTAACTCAGGTGATTGAAGATTTGGTGCGTGGTAAGGTCTCTTTCTATTTTTATTCTCAGATTTGTTTGCTCAAGCAATAAGCCCACAAATAACTGCCATCTGTGCAACTTTTTAGGTGAATTCCTCCAGTTGGGTTCCAAGGAAAATGAGAATGAAAGATTTGCTCACTACCTCGAGAAGACTTTTAAGAAGACTGCGAGTCTTATAGCAAACAGTTGTAAAGCAGTATGTACGTCTGTCTCTTCTAAAGTTAACATACCGTACTGTAAGCTTCACAGCTAAACTGCTATTATTGCTGTTTTCTCTGGAGACACTTCAAAGTAAACCCTTTAAGTGGTATTCTGCCAGAATCTAAATGGGTTTGAGTTTGTGGATTCTATCCCAATTCAGCTGTGCAGCCTCCAACATTGTTTTTCTTTTTTTTTTTTCCTGTTTTATATTTATGGACAGAGTTATTGTTATCCTCACTTGAATCAAAATAAGGTCCACAGTAGCTGCCTCTAATTTACAAAATTCTGCAAGATTGAGCCAGTGTTTTTAATGCCAGTTGGGATTTGTTGAGCCTGTAGGTTTTTATTTATTTGTTTGTTTATTTTTAGGCCACTTTCACATCTGGTCCTGCTCATTGGTGTAGAGAGGGATCTTAAATGAAAACAGTCAGAGGAAATAACTACTTTGTGTATGTTTTTATCTAGCGTTACTTTAGAAAGGAAAGACATTGTCCTTTGCTATTCATTAAATCATAGGAATTAAATATGTTTCACTGGATGAATTTTAGGTGACTAATCAAGTGGTTCTGTCTTGCTGTGTCACATTGTAAAAGGAGTATGTACTTGCTGATTTGCCTGGGGTTTTTAATTATCAATTGGTGGGATCCCGCTATATCCAACCCAACCTGTTGTTCAGTTCCGTTACTTTATTACAAAAAGACCTGTTTAAGATGATGTTTTTATTCAAAAAAACATGTTTATTAACAGTGCAGAAAATAGAGAAGATAGATAGATAGGCAATAATCTCACCCCAAGAGACTTACATTTTTATTAAAGGAGGAATAGCTGATGCGTGCTATAGCAAGGGGGAGTTCTAAGAGAAGTGAACTAAAAATATATGCTAGTATTAATCATCTTCCTTTATTCTCAGAGAACTGTTACATTTGTGCAATAGACAGTAGTTGAAAATTGCTTAAGTCAAGAGGACTGTATAGAACAAGAGACAAATTTTATGAGGAGGGAAAATACTTTCATTGCATGAATTCTCCTAGTTGGAGGAATGAACTTCAGTCTTCTGGATTGTTCATATTAATGGTAGTATGACACAGGAGAGAATTTCCCTTTGCAGTTCTTCATTTATTTTAGTGAGAAGTTGTACTAGTAAGGAGAGTCACATCCTGCTACCTCAATACAAATGTGTAAGTTTTTATACTCATTTTGACAATCTTCCTAAAAGAACCTTCATGGACAGAAGAATCACCTTCCCACACCTTATCCCACTTCCCACTCAAATCCTTACAAGAGCTAGGGATTTTAGTACTTCCTTCCAGGTTGTGGGTGAGATGCTGGATAACAGGAAGTAAACATGTTTGGCTTCTGCTCTTCCAGTAGTTGTTCTGAGCATAAGTATGCTTTCCAGTGCTGAATTGCTAGAATTTTATATGCAGTAAAATTATGTTATAAAGAAAAACAAGAGATAGGTCTGTCCTTAAGACAAAACCATACTTGGGTACAGCGGCAATGGCTTGTATATATGTCTCTCCATCAGTTTATTTCTGCATAGTTCAGGAGAACTATGCTCATACTCCTAGCAGTGAAAAGATATTTTTGATGGTTTTGGCCACTAAGGAAAAGGATGGAATCAGAAGGGTATTGTGTTATCTGTGGCAAAGATGATCACTAAGATCACCAGTTCTAGCTTGAAAAGAAACTCACCTGTATTTCAGTTGGGGCTGAAGAGTATTCACACCTTGTTTTCAGGGACAAAGCTAAGGGGAGAGATTATTGATGTTCAGAACATTATTTACAGCTTAACAGGCTCGTGTGTCTTTGGAAGCAGCAGTTAATGATAGAAATAAACCATTGTCTGATTTCCTATGTATAAATAAGATAAAAGTATTACCTGAAAAAAAGATGTCAAACTAATTTGAATGTTCTCTTGGAATCCTGTACTATATGATGCCTTTGAGAAGGCAGATTAGGTATTCTTGGGAAAACTTCTAAACAAGATAATGAATAGTGTATTAACCACTGCAGTGAACACGCTAGTGTTATCTTCTGCGTCTCCAAAGCATTGCTGCACTTGAGTCAAAATTCCTTTAAGGTAGACTGTTATGTACATTAAAAACATGGCTATTCAAGATGTTAGAGCCATTGCAGCCTCCAGGTTATTTCTACAATAGTTCTACATGGGGAAGTGTGTCCTGAAGTTACAGTCAAAGTAATATATTGCAAGAGGAAATGGTGGCATATGGCCCAGAAGGTGACTGAAGCCTTAGTTAGTGAAAGGCATTTCTCAGAGAACATGAAAGGGTGACTTTGGTTCAAGAATTCAGAAAGAGTAAAGCAGAAGTGGCATTTCCATCGGTCATCAGGCAAACTGGAGATGGCAAAATAAGCTTAGCATGTTCTTTCAGTCGTTTTTCTTCTGCTGTAATGTGAATTCGTAAAGCTGTTTATATTCTGCATAGCATACTTTCAGAAGAGGGCTTAAAAACATGCTTGTCTGAGATCAGTGTAAAGTTGTGCTAGAAATTCTTGATTTTATCTCTTAGGGCTTTGGCTTTGATAGCTTTGGGCCTTGATCTTGGAAGCTGGTCTATACAGATACGTCCTTGCATGCCTGCTTGGAGCCCCCCATGGGTAAGGCAAGACTTTGTATGGAAGGTCTGCCTTATAGACAGAAGAAAAGGAATAGTCTACAGCTCTGTATCTACCTGTGAGCTCCTGCATAACTGTTTTACAGTTTGGTGTGTGTACAGGTCTCCATCTGAAAAAAAAACCCACCTGGTATGGAAGCGGTGTCTAGGAAAATTAGACTTTGAAAATCTTAGAAGCTGGGACACCACCAACAATGTTGACTAGCTTAAGGAGGTTCATACAGGCTCCAACAAGGTCCTAAAACAGATGTAGGCTCTTAATATCAGTGGCATCAGATATTATGGTCAGTCAATAGATCTTTCATTCTGTTTAAAATACAGTAATTCCTCTGGGGATGTATATTCTTCATAATTTCTTTGCTTTGAAAGAGATTAGCATAACTATAGTACAGATTTTCAAGTAGATCATTTTCAGTTCTGTAGAAGTACAGTTCTTTATAAGCAAGTGCATGTTAAAATTTTAATTACTTGGGAAGAGGTCAAATGCGTGGCAAAACAAATTCAGGACAAGATAGTTTTCAGTTGTGTGTAGGGGCTGCTCTCAGGCAGACGTCTTCCTCTCTTAGGTAGGCCTTTATAACCCGTCTTACTAGAGGAGTAGTTACTAAAAAGGATTTAAAGAGACAGGTGGAAGTCAGCGGTGTGCCCTGCAGCATTGAAGGCTAGCCACATACTGGGCTGCATTGGTAACAGCATAGCCAGCGTGTTATGGGAAGTGACTATTTTCTCTTCAGCACATGAGACCTCGTGGGCAGTACCGTGCCCGAGATTGGGCTCCCCTGTTCAAGACAGACATCAACATTGTGGAGTGAGTCCAGTGAAGTGCCACTATGATGGTTGGGTGCTGGAGCACATGACTTACCAGGAGAAGCCAAGAGTTGGGTTTAGTCTGGAGAAAAGAAGGCTAAGGGAATGTTCCTGCTGTCTCCAGGTAGGCAGAGGGAAGGTGTAGAGAAGATGGAGCCAAACTCTTCTCAGGTGGACAGTGAAAGAACATGTGGCATCAGGGAAAATTCCAATTAGATATTAGGAAAAAAAAAAAATCTTCAAGAGCTTAGTCAAACACTGGAACAGGTTGCCCAGAGAGGGTGTAGAATTTCCATCCTTGGAGATATTCAAAACTCAACTGGACGCAGCCCTGAGTAACCTGATCTAGCTGTGAAGTTAGCCCTGCTTTGAGCATGGAATTGCACCAAATAATCTTCAGAGGTCCCTTCCAACCTAAATTATTCTGTGATTCCATTGGAAAGAGGAAATAGTGCTGTTGTCTGGAAACAAAGTGCTAGGTGAGTCACAAATGAGAAGGCAGGATCCTGACTGCTTCAGGAGACAGGCATAGAGGAGAGGCTGGAGAGCAGTAAAAGGGGAAGTCTTTAGAACCACCTCTTCTTTTCGAGCTGGACACACATCTAGGGGAGGGAGTTTGAGGGCAGACGTCTCTCTTGTATCATTTACAAACACACGTATCACTGTCCAGCAGAAGGTTTTTATGCCAGGTCACAGGCATAGATGCGTAAGTGCTTCAGACTCCAGCTGCTGTATACTCATATGATGAAATAACAGAGCAGGTGTGTCTACCCAGAGCTGATTATAAAATATTTCGTGACATGAAGTTCAGTAGAAAGGCAAGATTGGTTTATAGTCTTTCATGTAACATAAAATAATAGAAACAGTTTTTTATTTTAAAAAATGTTTGAAATAATGCCAAGTAGATTGACTTGCTTTACTGAATTCAAAGAACTTTTCTGAAGAATTCCCTCCACTTGATATTAGGAAGGATTTGTGATGAGGTTTAGTGGAGGACATATCTGAATTCTTGCAAGATGAAATTACATTGTAATCCACTAGTCATGTCAGAGGAGCTATAGGAAGTCCTCAAATGGCGAGTTTTATCAGCTACACACAAGAATAGTTAAGTTGATGTTGTTATTCTGATTTGTATTTGTAAACGTATGCTATTATACCAGTATGGCTTCACTTAGCCTGCTACTCTGTGAGTGATGCAAGTTTGACTGAGGAAGAGCCAGCCTGCCTGCCTGCACCACAGTGAGTGTCCATATGGGGGCGATAATCCACAAGAGTGATTTCAGAAATTAGCTCCTAAAGGAACTTTTTAGTAGACAAGACCCTGTCATGCTGCAGGTTTATGATGTGGTCACAGTAAGAGTTGCTCATTGGAGGGGTGAAAGACTTATAAAACTCCTAGATTGTTGTGGGTTTTTTGTCTTCAGAAGTGTTAATAACTTGAATAGAAGATATGAAGCTCTTCTCTTGAAAAGATGCAAGAAGTTGTTTTGCCCTGATGAATTTTGCTCATGTAAAGACATTCTGTAACTCACGCGTCTATTTTTTAATCCACATATCCTCCTGAAATTCTTTATATGGGTAATGTCTGTGTCGACAGGAAACTGTCCACCTGCAGGGATAGCTCTGCTCTGACTTTCCAATTAAATCAGAAAGCTCTCCTCCTTACATGGCACTGCCTCTCCCCGTCTACCAACTTTTTCCCAACTCTGACGATTTGCCATTAATGAGGATTTTGTCATAAACATCCATTTGAAGAAAACTGTTCTACTAAATTCCGTTTTTCAATTCTTCAGAGTAAATTTGGTGGTAGGTAAAGATTTCATTGAAGCAGGCTAGGTGCAGCCTTGCTGATCTTGTTTGATTTTTATTACAGAAGCAACCAAAACTTTGCTAGGCATTGTACAGGAGTATATATGTCAGCTTTGGGGAGCAAATAATACTAATTAAGAGACAAGTATCAAAAGGAGGATGAAAGAGCAAGATATTCTAGTTTGACAGACCCGGGCAACTTCTATTTAAATGCCTTGTAATTCCAGTTCACTCAGGTTAATGGCCTTCAGGACTCTCTGTCATTCGACATAAATTAAGTAGCATCACTTCCCTGCTATACGATCTTCCTCTTTTAAATAAATTCGGGAAATGTGAGACTATCAAGGCATCCAGATTCCTCAGGGTTTACTAGTTATCCATGGGTGCAGATAACAACTGGGAGGCTTCCTGGTGATTAATTGAGTGAAATGCATTGAAGCATGAAATAATAGTCTCTAATCTTGTGCAAGTTGCAATGTATTTATTGGGATATATCCTTCAGTACCTAATGTTGTTTCCTATTTCCATCTTCATGTTCTCCTTCACAGCTCTTCCTGGACTGGTTTTTAGTTTGGGTTTGTTTTTTAATGAATCTACCTTTCATTACCATTGAAGAGGAGTTTTTCATATGCATATTCTTGTTCTGTGGTTTTCCTAGCATATAGTTTTAGTCTTACATTAAGTAAAAATCTATCTTCACTCCTTCCGTTAGTTGCAGCAGTTTGTGTCTGGATTTTTGTCCCCTAATTGCTTTATTGAAGGTTAGTGTAAAACAGAGTATTTAAGTGTAACCAACCTAATTTGGGACAGTGTTTAATCAATATATAAATGCAAAAGTTGACGTGTTTATCTTGGGGCAAGATACTTATTCTCAAATCTTAATATGTCCTCTATTCTAGCTTTATGAAGTTTATTCAGCAAAAGTTGTATCTGTTACCTAGTCAATTCCTATATCCGTACCCAAATAAAATGTTTATCTGCGTTTGTTTGTCTCAGTTTAGTGATACTTCTATCTAACATGGTGCACTTTCTTCATTCACTATCTTATTTTTCTTTGCCACTAATTATCTCTTGATACTCTTCTCTGCAAGCTATCAGCTCATCTTCATGAGCACTTCAGTTTTGGATAGTTAACATCACCCCTAAAAATAACCTTCCTTATCTCAACTGTCCTCCTAAATTGGGTGCAACACTTTGAGTTTTGTGGATCTTTCATGAAGCATGTAATGTCCATTTATCTGTTATCTGACCTCCAGTTGTCCCGTGGCTGATTTATATATGTAATAAGTTTGATTCCCCTCTCACTAGACTGTAGATGACTACCAGTCTGCATCTGCAATGCAACTGTATTTCTTCTCTCTCCATCCTTGCATTATAATTTCTAACCATGATAAATATTCAGTAAAGCTAATCTCTTTCAGGACTTGGATATATTTTTAATACTGCTGCACTGCTGTTCAGTCTTGTTTTCTCATTGGCTTGGCTTTTTGTGAGTATCCACAGAGACAGATAGGCAAGAATATGCTGCTGATGCAGCTTTTTTCCCCTCTCCCAGATTCCTACTGTACGTACTTAGGAACAGATACCTAGGGTCATACCTAGGGGTCAGAGACTAAAGGTGGATGCTAACTAAAACTTTCTGTTTTTTTCCTTTTTTATCTTTTCTTTCCTTTTTTTTTTTTTTTTTCTTTTCAGGTTTCTATTCTAGGCTGCCCTGATCCCAAAGTTCATGAGATTGCATACCAGTATGGGAAAAATGTTGGCATAGCTTTTCAGGTAATGTATTCCTCTGCTTTTGTTGAATTAATGAGAATCTAAAGCTTAAACTTTTGAAAACTGTCCTGAAATCGATGTGGGCTGTTTAAATCTTTTTTATAAGTCTTCTCTTAATGAGGATTATTCTGTATTTAGCTCTCTTTAATAAAAATAATAAATATACAGATTAATTATTACTATTGTTATTATTTCCTCCCAGCTAATAGATGATGTGCTGGATTTTACATCATGTGCTGACCATCTGGGGAAACCAACAGCAGCAGATCTCAAGCTGGGATTGGCCACAGGCCCTGTCTTGTTTGCTTGCCGACAGGTAAGTCAGCAGGATGCTCCTTTCAAGGGATATTTTTTAAACTTTAAATCTTAATCTTTGAATTAATTAAATGATTTTAGATGCTGTTGTGTTCTTGACTTTCTTGGTAACAGTGGTTTTGCATTTGCTTTTTTCCTTTTTCATTCTAAAGATTTCTAGGCATTCACAAAGAAGAAAAAGATACTAATCGCCTTTAAAAGTAGATTTAGTAGTATGACGGCACACAACTAACCGAACTGATAAGAAACAAAGATGTGTGCTTTCTTCTATTTGTTTGCAGTGATGATACTTGTAGATGTTAAGATTGGAAAGTACTGTTGGACTGAGGAGGTAAGGAACACATCTTTGAACTATAAAATAGTATTTTCAAGCTCTAAGCTAACTTGGACCTAGAGGTGAAATGGAAAAAAGGAAAAGCAGGTCTCCACAAGGAAGCAGTATGTTGTCTATGCCATTATCTGGAGACTGAGAAGGAAACTGGGATCCACAAACTAGAAAACGTAGGAAGCTTTAGAGTGTGTGCAAACTAAAGTTCAGCTAAGAATTGTTTAGCTTTCACCTGCATGAGGAGCTTCCATCCTAACCTCCGCCACTGGATATGCCTGCTGCATATGAGCAGATCAACTTTACAGTGCATGCTGTCTACGCATCAAGTCTACAGCATCAGAGATGAACGTGGCCAGGGCAAGTACCAAAGGTCAGCGCGTTCAAGACCAGCTGGATTTATTACACCTGCATGTTCTTCTGGATTGAGAAACAGCTGCCTACACAAGTGCTCTAACCATTAGGCCCTTTTATTAAAAGCAGCACTAATCTTTTGCTGCCCTGATTCAAGTGCCTAACGTTTGGAAAGAGACAGGTGTTCCAATACTTTTCATGATGTTTTCTGGAGTTAGTCCTAAGCAGCTTCCTGCTCATGTTCTTTGCTGAGACATCCTGTTCTCCCCAGGCTCTGAATATGGCCCTTTTGCAAAATTTTGGACTTCGTACCCATTCTGAAGCCGAATACTTAAAACATCCGCATAGCTTTTAGGTAGGCACCTCTATCCTTCATTGGATTTGGTCCTTTTGTCTCTTTTGTCGTCAAGCTTATCAGTTATGAAAGGGGGAAGCTTTCCATTCTTTACAGTCGTGCTACTAAAGGTGAACATGTTAGTTTGCAGAAGAGAAAGGAGTATCATAAATAAAATAAGCTTCAAATCGGTCAAGATTTTCAGTGGCTCAAGGATGACCTGGAGGAGTATAAGGAAAACTGCAATGTCAGCAGCACCAAAAAAAGACAACTTTGACTTCTTACTTGCCCCTCTTTTTTAAAACCAAAAAGCTTAGGATCTTGGGGGTGGGAGGAAGAATGCATGCATGCATTTGTTTCCTCATCCATTGTGCATTTGCAATGACATGTCTCTCAGAAAAAGACAGGAAAGCGAAGAGTATCGGCCACGTAAGAATACATACTAACAGATGCTGAGAACAATCCACTCCATGTTCTCGATGTCCTCATCCCAGCCTCTCTGCAGGATTCATGAATTCGTTCTTGAATCATTATTTCAGAATTTGATCATATGCAGCAGGATCTTATTAGTCATCAGCAACTGGAGTTGTCTAATGGGACAGTGACAGACTCGAGTACAGAAAGAGGATACAGTTGTGAAATTTTTTTTAGCTACTTTTAGAGTCAAAAAATGACAGGTTACAGAAACTTTAAATAGGATTTGGCAGTGAATGGGTGATGCTGATTGATTGTCTTATGGGTGTTGACTATTTCAAATTTTTAAAGTTGTTATGCATTTAATCATCTATTTGGGCTGGCTATCTCTGACTTTCAACCTTACCTATCATTTAATGAGCTTTATCAGATAAATAAGAGCTAAGTTCGTAATAGAAAAATAGGACAGAAAATAACTTTGTAAGTTCTATTTTAAAATCTTTTGAACACTTCTTCATTTCTGTCTTTACAATAGATGGGAAGGGCAGTTTTTGCTTTGAAAGATAACTTGACCACTCTGTGAAGTTTTCGACGTTAAGTGGAAGGCTTCTTTGGTGACAACTTCCTGCTGTTTTTAAGAAACTCAGGAGAGCGCTATAGACTTATGTGATCTATATAAACAAAATAAGTGCTAAAACCTGGAGCTTTTCTCAACAGACACTTGTCTGTGCTGTTACTAAAAGATGTTTCATCAATTTGTATCTGAGAATACAAATTCCTGAGGAAGGACTTGAAGATAGTCTAAAATGTGATTGTTTGTTAATTATATGCTGTCTTTTCTCTTGAAATTAATATTACTGCTATCTTGCACACCCCCTAATTTATCTGGTAATCCTCCTCTCGCCTTCCTGACAAACATACTTCTAATGTGCTTGGATCTTCAAGTAAGTGACAGCCTTCTTTCCTTCTCCTCTCCCCTCCCTCTAAAATATATCTTTTTGCATTAGAATATTGAGGAGTGAGCTTTATACAAAAAACATTTAGGTCAAATTTAGATCTGTTTATTCAGTATTTAAAGTTAGTTCACTCAGGAAAAAAAAAATCCTCCCCCTTTTTTTTTTTTAAAGAAATAATACAGTAATGCTAATTCTAAAGTCACTTTTAAAATAGCACAGCTCAAGAACGTGGTCTATTTTTATTTTAAGCGTTCCTATCAAATGCTTATGTACGATCCTTTAAATTTGCTCAACTACTAATAATAGCTTTTCATTAAGTGTTTGGGGATTTTTATATTCTTTAGAGCTTAAATATTAAAAAGTCAAGCAGTGTGCATCCTACATCATTGTAAATATGAATAATATGACAATGAATAATGTGAACATTGCAATTAAATTGTCATTATATGGGAAGGAAGCTGGAATCGAGAGAAAGCCAAGTCTGAGTCACCAATAAACTTTTAAATGCATCTTGTAAGAGAAGACTGCCTGTGAGTAATAGACAAATGTCATGGCAATAAGAGATGTTACATGTTTGTTCCCTAACAATAGTTTTGCAGATAAATGGCTTCAGGACCAAAGGTAGGCAAGAAAAAAATGCATCCTTGTCTACAAGTGTACTGTATTACAGTAATCTACTGACTTTCAGACAGATGAGCAAATAGCGCTTTTCTTTCAAAAGAATTCCTCTACGGAGCAGCTCTCTGAAGCTGTGGCCTTGGTTTATTAGTTAAGCACCAAGTTTTCTGTTTCCAGACTGTCTGACAGAAGAAAATGCCAGCACATTTACATGAGTGGTACACTGACTTGCTCAGACAGTAACTGACTTCAGTTCTCTAGCAGATTTATAGGTTTACTGATTGTGCAGTGCTAACTACACATTGTCAGTGATTGAAAACAAAAAATATATTGTTCTCTTATCTATCCTGTCTACATTTTCAAATTGAATGTAAGATGCCATTATAAAAGCATGGCCCATGTGTGTTTTAGATATGGCGTTGAATAGATGAAAACTGTTGGTTTTGTTTGCATGAACTTCAAGTTGGGCATTACCTGCTGATTTTTGAAGCTGCAGATTAAAACCAACCCTCGCTTGTTGGTTTCATTCAAATTCTCAAGCTCCAGGTGGACTGCAGTGATTTTTTTTTTGGGGGGGGGGGGAGGGGGGTCTAGTAACACTTGTGGTATTTAAGACGGATTTGATTGTTTGAACAGCTTTGTTTCTTACCTCAAATCTTTGCTCCTTACTGCAAGCCCATTTAGTAGGATCTTTCTTCATCAAGATCTTAGCTGGATTCTCTCTCTTATTTACAAACATGGGCAAATTCTAAACTGTCCTGGGCTTTCTGTATGTGAAGCTTGCATATATAAAATACCAAAGCAATGAAAGGCATAAGTGGATGTTACTATCACTAAGGGTTTTTATTCAGCCTTATGTGTGGAACTGTACAATACAGATATAACAAACCTCTCAGTAATCTGTTATACACGTGGGAGGAGAGGTGCTCCTAGGTATGCCAACACTAGCCCTCGCTTGTGACGTAGAAATACCTGAATGAGCTGGAATACACCTGGAAGCACCCACAGCAGAAATTCCCACACTGGATCATCTGTTCAACATGATGAAAGGGCAAGTGCTAACTCTTGCCACTAACTGGCTACACAGCCAGCCAGTTTTGGATTTTAAATGCTTGGGCTTTGCTATACAGCAGTAAGTTTAATACCTGAAATTTGTATCCGTTTACTGGTACCTCTAAGTAACAAGTTGCCAGGGAAGAAGGCTATGTTATGGTTTCTTTTTCATCTTAACATGGCAGGCACCTATATGGACAACAGCTCATAAGCAATACAAAAACTTCTCCCTTTGTGCTTAGTTTCCAGAAATGAATGCTATGATAATGAGACGATTCAGTAAGCCAGGAGATGTTGAACGTGCTCGGAAATATGTATTGCAGGTAGGACTGATATCAAATATTTCATTCCTGAATGCTGTCCCTGTTGAAGTCTGTCTGAAATTCATTGCCTCTGAAGTCAACTAGCAGGGCTGTATTTTCTAATAGATGTTAAGCAGCATGCTACGTACAGTACCAAGTTAGTACTCTTCCAACTGCTTCACCAGCACACTGTTTTAACAAAAAAAGCTACTGCATCCAGTAACTAGCTTTTTTTTTTTTTAAATAACAAAATCTACATAATAAGCAAGAAGTTCATGTATGAAACTCAATTCCTTCAACTGAAGGGTAGCTGTGTTCAACAACTGGTGTAAGCAACAAGTAATTACGAGTCAGTCTTACCTCTGAAGTACATGCTCTGTATTAGTTTTAACCAAGTCTGGTCTGAAAAGAATGAATAATTGTGCAGAACAAGCAGCTATTTGGTCAGCATAGCAGGGTTTTCCTGGCTTAATTTTGTGTCTGTTTATCTGTGAGAGAGTTGTTTTTCTTCTCTCAACCATTAGTTTCTAGTCCTACCGACTAGTATCTTGTTGATAGCAGTATTGCTTTACAGTACACTTAAGTTTACCCTAGTGCAACTTTGGTATTTTGAAGCTTTGGGGAACAGATACAAGATTCAAGGAATACAAATTAATCAGTTTCCTTTCTCCTTCAGAATATAATTGTTAAATGTTCAGGCTGTTTATGGACCTTAAAAACAAACAAACAAAAAAACCTTCACTGTTTTAACTAGAAGAGGCAAAGGGGGAGGCAGATCACTCATCCATTACTTGCAATTGTGTTCTTTTGCAAGAGTGACGGTGTGCAGCAAACAACCTACCTCGCCCAACGCTACTGCCACGAAGCTACAAGAGAGATCAGTAAACTACGGCCATCCCCTGAAAGAGAAGCCCTCATTCAACTGACAGAAATGGTACTCCTACGAGACAAGTGAGAGAACTCCTTCCACTCATTTGGGCAGCTACTTACCAGACTGTGCCTAAATTTACTTTGAAAGTTATTTGCTTCCAATACAGGCTACCAAAAACAATTTTTTTAAAAACTTTTTTTGGAAATTCCTTTTTTTAAAAAAAAAAAAAGAAGTTAAGTGTTTTATTGTAGGAAGCCATACAACTCAAAACAAATCAAAATGTGTTGTACAACTGTTTTAGTGAGAGCTCTTAATGGTGAGGGCGGGGAAGATGTTTACATGTTGATGCATAAAGGCCACAGTAAGAATAAATATAATCAGTGTATCCGAACTGAAGTTGCTCCAAATTTCACTCATGTTTACACTAATAAACAGAGTATGCATGTTTCTATCTGGTAAACTCCTGTGCAAATAAGAGGGTTTGAATGCTTCCAAGCTGTTAAACTTGAGAAGCACCTGGAATTTCATATATGGGAATGGTTTACTATAAAAGACCAGATGTAGACTTTAATAGGGTTACACACAAATGAAAAATTTTCCACTTTATAGAGAAATACAGGTTTGGTAATGGCTGTTAATTGTTAACAATTAACAAGATGCAGAACTTGAGACTGCTACCGTTGAGAAAATGAAAGGCTCAGTATTTCTAACTCACACTAAAAAAAGAAGGATTCAATGACATCTACCAGCTTCCATCACTCATTTATGGAGTGTATTTGATACCCTTTTAGAGAAGTACTCTGAAGTTCAAAGCACATCCCTGTTAGAGTAGTTATCCAGTACTACCACTTTTTTTTCCAGGTTGTTTAAGGCACAGAATTTGCAAAACAGAAGTACATCTCCTCCAACTCTGCCTGTGGTCCCTTAACTCGAAGGGCAAAGTACATGGCACTATTACAAACAAACAAAACCCAAGAAAACCCTGAACACAACAGGATGTAGTGTGGTGTGTTTCCCCTCAGTCACATCTTAAGGACAGTCAGTCAGCTCTCTTTGTGCTGGACTTGGCATATTACCAAGTCCAGATACAGTTTCCATTGAGCAATGTCAGTTACAGACAGTGATCAACTTACTGCATCCAGATAACCAGATTCAATCAAGAATCCTTGCTAAAATTAATTTTGGAAGAAAAGAACTTTTAGAGTTTGTGTAAGTAGGTAATTCAGGTTTCATATCCAATTTATTTACCCTATGTTATGAACCTTTGTTTTCTAGTACATTGCCTAGAATAACACAACCATGATTTTGCTATGTTAGCATTCCAAACTTATTTGCCAAGCAAACCAACAAAGTAATGGACAAGACCTTTGGTTCACTTATATATTTATGAATGGAAAAAGTCATAATGTAAATTTACTCATTAAAAAAAAAACTTGGGTACAAATTACACATACATAAGACCACCCATTTTTTGATTCACACGGACACCTTAGACCCAAACAACTCATTGTAATAGACTTTAGTGAGAATACTCCAGGTAAAGATTACAACAAATTGGAAGCATCTTGGATTTTTAAAAAAGTATATTTCAATACATAAGTTTGTATGCATGCTTTAAACAAATATAGTTCAAGAATGAGCAAAGAGTCTAAACAAAAAGTAATATGACCAGCACTAACATTAAACTTCTCATCCATATTTTAATATGTTAGTCTAACGTAGTGTTAGTTACCATGCTGTACTGAAAAATGTAATGGCACAATCTGAATCATGATTCATTAAATATTATACCCTACTTCCCCAGAATATTTAGGCTGGTCATAAAATTAACAATGCATAAGTAAATAAGTATAACCAGTAATAGACAGTTGCTTGTTTTACAAATTGCCATCAGGTAAGAGATACCGTCTCCAGAGACTTAGAGAGATGGACGTTCAATCATACCATTAAAACAGTATGGCCTGAAGAAATGGGCACATTTTTTTTTTTGAAAATACATTAAGACAATTCTGTTAGCTTTTAGTTACCCTTTGTAAATAATCATGGTATGACTGAATACAAGACCCAACTTTAAAAGCAAAGGATTTTAATCGGCATAGTGCATGATTGATTCAACATAATTCCCAGGAAACAAGCCAGTTACTCGATTGCAAACTCCTTCATACCAGCCGTCATCATTCTTCTTTATCACATAAATGATTGCACCTTCCATAAACGACAGCTCGTCATCTTTGTCCTTTGTATAGTCATATATAGCAACAACTGTGGATTGAATAGCAACAAGTTTAGCATAGACCAGTGTTAAAATTTCTTGAGGTACAATTATTTTTTTTCAAGACTAGTTAGCTATTCTGGGATTTTCCATACTGAATACACACGGTTTTCCTGTTCAACATTAAGTCAGGAAAGTGAAATTTCACTTTTCTTATATTAACAGCTACCAGTAAGAAGTAGGTGGTAACTGCACTGAATGCTCAGTTAAATTTTTGGCCTAGTATAGCTGACCGGGATATGGTAAAATAGTGCATAGGGACGTTTAAAAGCTCAACTGTGCAAACTGTTGGCTCTCCATGGACATTTCTGGTCAGACTACTTCAAAGGCACATAGATCCCTGCATAGGGATCTCTTGATTAGGGAAAGTCTGAAGTCATTCTGTAGAACAGTCCTATACAGAAAGAAATCTTATAGAATGGTCCCTGCAGTTATATAGTATTTAGTTCAGAGCCTGTTTTTATAAATGTAGCTACTGAAAACCACTGTAAGAAACAGATTATTTCCTGCCTTTGCTATGGAGTTTCTATGTGGCAGTAAGTTTTGGCTTTACTTTTCAAGGGGCTGCTATTAGTGCAAATACAAAAGTTACTGTAAGGGAAAAGCAGGAGTGAATTTACAGCACGACCAGCTATTTTACAATACCTGCCTAGTGGATACACTCCTCTTATCAACCTCCCATTTACTCTGTGCAATTAAAAAAAGCAGCTATGATCCCTAAGGAAAAGAAAATATAGCCACCGATAATACTGGAATTAAAAGCTACCACTATGAATACAAAAACTTTGAATATCACAGTCTTATCCTTCAGAAAGCATTAACATTATGCAACTGATAGTTTTATAGATCTAAAACTACCCCATCTCTTCTCAGAAATAAGATGTCTTAGTGCCTAGTAAATAATGATGCAGTATATTAGTAATCTCATGACTGTGTCCTGCAAACAGTACAGCTAGTAATAAAGATGAAACATAGTAGTTCCTACTGCTGTTGCAAAGACAGATAAGTGGTCACTAGCACATTTCATACCGTTCTGTCTACTACCGTACCAGCAGATCAGGAGAAAACTTGCAACACTGTTGACAAACCAGGCATTTTCCTAACACAGGCAACTCTAGAGGTAGGAAGTCAACATCTCAATAATTCATGGGAAGAGGCCTTTACTATATGAATTCATATCTCAACATAGTTACAATCAGCTGATCTAGAATCACTGGTAAGTCTCCAGTGAAGCCTTACTACATTTTACAGTTGAAAGGCTAATGATTGACTCATAGCTATCTAATGTGATGGGATAAAGAGAACTCAAGACTTTCTGGCCTTTTTGCCAAACTATTTCTAGATGATTGCCTAGCAGTCCTGAAGTAGCCATAGATAAAGTCCAGCAACTCAGCAGTCCAATTTACATCTGCTTCTCATAACGGTAGATTTTTAATCCCTTCAGTCAAGAGTGTTTGCAGATATTTCAAGATCCTTCCAAAGAAGGATTATATTTTATCACTTTAGGTGCAATCACTTACAAACTAAGAAGAGAATGGTTAGTTTTGACTGAGCAGGGACAACGATTGTTTTTGTCACGCTAAGTCCTTCATCCTCTCCAGATACCCATTAATCCTCCAGCACTGTGGTAATGCAGAGTTCCAATGCTCTCTTACCTTTCTCTATATAGTTTTTAGGTGCCCAAGCAGGATCTCCATCTGCATAGGGATCGCTGTACTGCACAACAGCGGCCTCCTCATCCTCATAATCCACAGGGGGTGGGGGTGGAGGAGGAGGAGAGTCATCAAACATCGGCATCTCATCGGGAGGTGGTGGTGGGGGAGGAGTCGGACTATCAGCAACTAGAAACGTTTGGAGATTTTGTTTTGTTTTTGTTTTTTAAATCAAAGACAAACCAACCTGAGGCTGTACGCTGTAGATAAAAAGGGAGGGGGAAAGCACCACACATAACATGCACTATAATACCATGCACTGATTAGAGACTTTGTATTAACAACTACAACATACAGCTACATTTGTTATTAGTGGTCAAATCTATGTATAAATCTATGTATAAATGCTACTAGAGTCAAAGCACATGCTGCAGGGCATAAGCTGAACACGAGCAGAGAGGAAAGCTTCCTGCTCGCCCGGCCATGCGCTGGGCTAGCTGCAGCGGTAGCTAGAGGAGGATTCCGAGCGGCACCCTCTGAGCCAGGCAGCAACAGGCCTTGGGACAGCACTAGCCGTTTGATGATTTTTAAACGAATCCTTTGTTTATAGTATCTTTTTAATTTTTTTTTTCTGAACACTGCTTCACTGGATTTCCTCTGAGAGCTAGCTTTAAAGTGGGGGGGGGGGGAAGATCTAGTATACATTAAAAAACGTCATGGGAGAGAAAGGTGCTTGAAATTTAACCAGGTAAGAGGAAGCAAAATAATCCATCTGCAAAAGAAAAGCTTTGTACAGGTCCTTATCTTGCAGGAGAGCTTGTGCGTATGCATACATCCAGGATTCACTTAATGAATGGCAAACTACAACAGGCAGCTGCTGCTCTTGGGAGGCGAGGGGCGGGAGAACGCTCAAGGAATTAAGTATATAATCCAGAAAGTCAAATCCCTGCCCTGAAATTCTCCAGTCAGCACAATTACAAGTTGCTTTGGGGAAGGGGGGGGGGGGGAAGAGGAAGGAATTATGGTGCAAATCACTCCTCAAATCAGTTTATCAAATTAGTTTTCAGTAGCATTCAAAGCAGCTGGTAGCAGAGTGGAGGGAGAACTCGGATGCAAGACATCAAGCCACTCATCCTATTCCTCAGGATCTGTGGTTTTCAAGCCACTGCACATGGACTTAGACTTAAGAGTTATGAAGCCAGAATTTACTGAAGGGTAGCTACTGTCACTACACTCAACTTTGCTATATAGGGATACAAATTTAATTACAAAAGATTTGAGAGGCTGTAAAATGAAAACATACAAAGGTTGAAAACCATGGCTCTAGAAAGAATTTGATTAGAAGGAACAATCAGCTGGAAATTTGTTCCAACGCGCATAATAGTTCCCTGGCCCAGGCAGGGTAGGTCTCATTTTCAACTTCTATCCAAGTTACAGGGTCATCGTTTCAGCACTGACAGCCACAGAAACACCACTTTCTGAATCAGCATCAGCAACTGCTCCCTGAAATGCTGTCCTTCACCAAGGAGAGCTGCTCCAGGGTGCTACTGCTCAGCGACAGGGACTTGCATTTATTGTCAAACACTGCTCTAATTTTGAGAGGAAAGCTAAGCTGAAGAGCAAGGAAAGAACACAGCACTGACTGAAGTTGTAGCTATTGTTGTATCTAGTTGTAGCTGGATACAGTGGCACTGAAAATTACGAGTAGACTTTGTTTGCTTTAATACTTCCCATTACTTCTGCCTGGCCACTACTCCAGTAGCGACTAACCTTAGACCTTCAGCCACATGCCCCTCACAAGGGGCGCAAGCACACCTCCCATAGCGCAGCCAGGTCAGGAGCTTTGGAGGCAGAGGCTGCCCGTTCGCCCTGGCACTCCAGCAGCCCCCTCCTTCCCTCAAGGAGCTAATGCTGTTTTCCACCTAAGACCCCAAGCTCCTCATGACTAGCTGAGCTATATCCCCTACAACTCTCTGCATCAGTAAGATTGGCTACCACTGTATTACTGATGCCTCTCCCATACAGAAGCTTATTTATGCCACTTGGAGTCAGATGAACAATCAAAGTCTTTGGCCAGCTGAATGCTATGCTTTGCCTGTATTACTGAACAATGTTCACGGGCAGGAGTCATTAATCCACCACAGACACATGAGACACAAATAAAGCTATTTATGAATGGATGGGTTTTGTGCAGTATTTTTGGCAGATCTTTCACCAAAATGTATTTCTCCCCTTAATTTCTATCTACATTCAGAAAAAAAAAATCTTATTTAAACAACAATCCTTTGAGATACTGAGAAATGCTTACCTTAATAAATACAAAAGGCTGTATAATAAGCAATGAAGTTGCTTATTTGAA